GTCACGTGCGATTAGAATGAAAACATATCCCAGAGAACAGACCAACTCGGTAAATAAGTGTTATTAACCCCAGGTTCATTTTGCGCCGGAATTGTCCTTTAACAGGAATCCTGCTGTGGTGCTCTGTATAGTGAAGATTGTAATTTATAGTTCAGTGATGGATGACAAGCACATGATCATATATTCTTTGCGCTACCTGTGTTTACATTCTTTCATTCCCTTTGGGATGAATGAATGAGTGAGTGACTTTTATTTTGAGAAATCCTGCTGACAGACAAAGAGGACCAAAAACATGTGACAATTAGGGAGAAGTGGATGTTAAACACTACCTGCAGAGTCATCTTTCTGCTGTGTACCATTGCAGATCTGCGGTCCAGCTCACAGCTCAGGATGCTGTCCAGCCTGCTGAAGCTGATTGGCTGGTTGTCAAGCACGGCCTCCAGCTGCTCCTTGAACCTCTCCCTTTCTCTGATCTCAGATGACAGCTCGCTGGGGAAAGAAGCGATGTTGGCCCAGAGCTTCTCCAAAACGGTGGCCATTTTCTACAACACAATCATCAGAAAGTTTCAGCACAGTAATGCTGGAAAAAATGGAAATATAATGAGAAAATAGGACACTAGTCACTGGTTTGACAAACACAACTTAAAGTGGAACTGATAGCTACCTCACTCCCAGGACAGCACAAGAAAATCATATAGGGTGTGTGTCTGTGTGAGAGTCCGCTCGAGCATTAACAGTCACTAGAAGCACATTCATGGCTGGTCGTAAAAGTTTCTGTGTGGTAACTGTGTTGTAACATTAGCTAAGCTAGCAGCTTAGGCTAACTCTCCGCTGTCTGTGGTAGAGTGTCAGACTACGGCTAGGTCACACCCATCCAAGTAATCAGTGGATTTTCAGCTGGAACAGCTTCTACATTATGGTTTATCTTTAATCAGTTCACTGTGAAATCTGACACCAACAAATAGGCCTATTTGGAAACCGACGACAAACAACAGCCCAGTTCTTGAAATAATTACTGTTAATCCAGTTGGGACTCGTGGAAAGGCAGAGCAACAGAACTCACCTGCAGGTAGAGCTGCCTCTTGTCCAGCAGCTCAGTCAGCCTGTGTTCCCACATTGTGCGGAAGTCCTCATCTTTGACGGAGTAGCTGGGGGCCTGCACTCTGCACAGCAGCACATCCTGCAGACGCCTTTCCTCGAAAATAGCCAGATCTTTCTTCACCAGCTCCTCAAACAGATTCCTGTAGCCCTGTGCTTGTGCCTGCAGGTGCTCCTGAGGAGGGGTAGAGAGCAGGAGTTTTCAGGTTACCGCCTGATCACAAGACCTTTATAAAATTTAAATGGGGAAAAAATACTAATATTTACCGTAATGTTGCCCAGGCTTTGAACAGTCTTCAGTCCCAGCTTACAGACATTGCTGTAGGTATTCATGGTGGGTTTCGGAAGAGAGGTCAGAAGAGGCTGCTTCAGGGACGACTGTCCTCTCAGAGCCTTGTCCAGAACTGACGAGTTATACTTGGAACAAGTATCTATAAGGTGCTGGAACCTTCTGAAGGACTCCTGCAGTTATATGAGTGAGTGGTATCAGTTATATTGAACTTGTGTTTAAATGTCATTGTCTTTCAGTTGCTGATTCATAGAAATTCTTTGGTGAAACTACCTGAAGCTGCCCAGTAGAGACCTGCAGCCGAGAAGACGCTGTCTCTGTGACTCCACTGGTGTTCTGATCCAAGGTGCTCAGCTGCTCCTTGAGTGCTGAGATGGTCGTGTTTGCTTCACTAAGCAACTGAAAGGACAAGTGAAAAAAGCCTATAATATACATTTTTAGATATATACTTCATGGGGAAATTTGACTTGTGCTTAACAAAGCTAGAGCCATTAATATATGTGGGCACACAGCCCCAGCAGGCAGAGAACGACTACACAAATACAAACCGGTTATTGGTTATATAATCTGTATTTTTAACAGGTTTAGACTTTTAAGACCTATATCACATCTATACTAGAGCTGTAATAATTAGTCTATTAATTGATTAGTTGTCAGCTATTAAATGAATCGCCAACTATATTGATAATTGCTTCATTGTAAGGAATAAAAAAGTCTCAATGCTTTCTTTAGTCCATATCAATGATTAGTCAAGAAAATGATTGACAGGTTAATTAAATAATGGTTTGCTATAGCCCCATCCACACTGGTAAAAAAGTCCAAAGTTTCTCCATGGCTCCATAGGCGGAGTCTGTAATTTGTGAATGAAGTGTGTAATCAGCAGAACTTGTCTCTGATGCATAACACGTCCAGAGTTTTAAGTCGAGTAGTAAGTTGTAGAAAGCGCTACAAGGAGACACTTCTGGATGTGGGTAAACTCTGCTTTCAGTAAGCTGTCAGTGTTGAGGTTTCTGTGTTTGACACTGTGGTTTTTCTGAATGATAGTAAGCACTTTGGGCCATTGGTAAGTGCAGGCTGTCCATTGCACATTATAACAGGACATCTCATGCCATTGTATAAATGCAAACAGTTTCTGATGCTGTTTGACTGGCTGTGTTTAGTTATACTTCAGTTATCAGCTGTACTCCGGTTGCTCAGGTTACAGATGTGACCTGGATGATCTCAGTGAGACTACCAGGAACAATGCTGATGACTTAAATGAAACTGTTGACAAACCTGCTGTGAGGTGTCAGCTGCAGCTTCAGCCCGTGTTTGTCTCTCTCTGAACAGTTGAAGCTGCTCCTCAAGCTGCTGCACCTAAAAACAACAACAGAGAGACAGGTCGATCAGAACAGGCAGCACAGAGACATGGGGAAAATGTATAAATGTAGTATTAGTATGAAAACATGTCATGCATGTCTTATTGTCCTATAACAACTATTGTCCAAAGTACATCTCCGGGTTAACAAGACATTTCCTCGTTTATTTAAAGCAGTGGTTCTCAACCACCCCCTGTGTCACGAGGCCTTCTTGATTTTAAGGGGTGGAAGCAAATGTTTAAAATATACATACAGGTGCATCTCAATCAATTAGAATATCATGGAAAAGTTCATTTATTTCAGTAATCAAATTCAAAAAGTTAAAATCATATATTATATAGATTCAT